ATAATGCAGCATTGTTAATAAAATAGAATAGCCCTGTAAACAAAATATAGTATCTGTTATCAAATTAGTTTAGCAGTTATCGAAATGTCGTGATTACAGAGAACAAAAAAATAAATGTTTCTCCCCATATTTTAAAATTGGACACAAGGCCATTGGAGAATTTCAAAAGAAAAATCACACATTTCTTTTGAGACACCCTATTATAGAATATATCTGAGGTCAAAGGTCATAGAAGAGGTTAGTTATAGGTTATACGCCAGAGAAAAGGGCATGGGAGAGATTTAAGGTCAAAGGTCAGAATTAAGGTCAAGAGGCAGATTTAAGGTAAAGGAGCAGATTTAAGGTCAAGGGGTAGATTTATGGCCAAGGGATATTTAAGTTCACAGGGTAGGTCAAAAGTCTTGGAGGCGACCAGACATAAGGAGAACATGTTGTTCTCAAGAAATTGGACTGTACACGTACATTACTGAACAAGGATATGTTTTAAAAAATATGCTGGACAAATTCGCTATTACCTCGAGAAAAATATATTACTATATAGCTCTAGAACACTGACTAGGTGGCGACTCTAGACAAGAACTTGATATGACACAATGGACAGGGGCGTGCTGGGCATGTTAACCTCATTGGTCAGATCCATCAGTCTTCTACACCCAATCACCGAGCTTCACCGTTTGGTGTCGACTAGTTACTTAACAATAGTGGAGCTTGGTAAATATGAGGTCAGAGGTCAGAGGGAAACTACTGCTAGGATCAAGTGATTGGCAGATACATGACACTGACCAAGTCTCTGTGAGTATGACGTCAGTAACTAGCTCTTGAACCGTTCCTGATCTACACTGATTAAATTTCCCAGCACAAAGACGACGTTAAGAAATTGGAAAGCTACATGGAATAATTTGTTGTCGAAGACCTAATGTGTCTCTCACTTTATAGGTGATCTTAAACATCTATCACTGGGTAAAGTCATCCACTAGACTTACGATTTATTTTCTTAGCAGAGCAGAGGATGAAGGATGGATAGTTTACTGGGTGTTAATGGCTCATATGTAGTTAGTACAGCTTTGGTTGAAACAGAGACAAGACACTCAAGTTGGTGAGACGAAATATTTTTAACGTAAGACGTAGTGTTTATCAAGGAGATTGGGTGACAATTAATGTGACGTCATAAGAGATCCACTGATTAAGTGGACGACGAAATAACGAAATATTCTCAACTGATGTCTCAAGATACAGTATCCTTAGTCAACACATCTTGACATCAGTGAGAGGAATATATATATATATATATATATATATATATATATATATATATATATATATATATATATATATATATATATATATATATATATATATATATGCAAGTAAATCACTGTAGTTGCGCGTGATCCAAGTACATGCTGATAACCACAAGGAAACAAGAAAACACGAAGTTCCCAAGTGCTTTCGTATAATTCACAGCTTCAGGGGTGAGTACTCACCCCTGAAGCTGTGAATTATACGAAAGCACTTGGGAACTTCGTGTCTTCTTGTGGTTATCAGCATATATATATATATATATATATATATATATATATATATATATATATATATATATATATATATATATATATATATATAACCAGGCTGGAATTAAGAATAAATGTCTCTTGGAGTATTGGAGTATTACACAGTGACTAGGCTCTTCTCACCTGATCAGGAATTCTTTAATACAAGAGTAACTTGATTAAGCAGGTACACACTTCGTTTTGATTGTATATATATATATATATATATATATATATATATATATATATATATATATATATATATATATATATATATATATATATATATATATATATATATATATATATATATATATATATATATATATATATATATATATATATATATATATATATATATATATATATATATTGTTGATAAACTATATATTTGTAATCCATATAACAAGTTAATGCTTAAAGCCGAAATCGTACATAGTTCCAGAAGCAGAAGTCAGGGCTGCTGCCTTCCACAAAACATTATGGTACACGTTATACACTTCTCCATGTAAACATGGATGGAGGATAGAGCTGTGTTGTCTATCGCAGTTGACGTGTATAAATACTAGATGGCCTCTCACAACATGAAGTAAATCTCTGTAACTACATTGAAATATCCATTAGCTAACTAAACGTTTCGATCCCAGACGTTTCAGCTTGGTTAGTGTAAGTTAAGGATTAGTTAACTTCGGATAAATTAAAGTTAGAGTAGCAAAGTTATACTCTACGGGTTAAAATTCGCTGAACATATGTAGAGTTAAGCTAGGATCTATGTAATATGAGGTATAATTAGATTATGCTAGGTTAAGGTTAGTTCAGGTTAATTAAAGTGGTGTAGGGTTAGGCTAGGTTAAAGTTACTGTACAGTAGTCTAGGTTAAAGTTAGGTAATGTTAGACTGTGATTAAACTGGGTAAAGACAAGTTAACCGAAGGTAGAGATTGAACTAAGCTAAGACTATGTTAGGTTTAGCTAGGCTAGTCTTGGTTAGAAAACATTGACTGGAAGACCCATTCTTAAAAAAAAATGGGTCAAAAATGTCACTTGTAGAATCTCTTTAATACTATAAAAATCAAGCCATTCCGTTACTCATTGAACAACACATTAGCAGCTGGTTATGTACATCTATGAGACACACTTCCTACATCACGTTGGTCCTCAAATCACATACAAACATAAAACTTTATGACATGCACTTTGGATCACACTTTGAGTTAAAGAGCATAACAATTACTGTACTAATTGATATACAGTATATATATATATATATATATATATATATATATATATATATATATATATATATATATATATATATATATATATATATATATATATAACTTTGAAGTGTGATATTATTAAAAACCAGGAAACGGGATATCAAGTTTCCACAATTTAAAATCTCGATATAGATATTCGTCTTTGGTCAAAAATTTTGTTGAAATTCTGATAATTAATTGTTCTAAGAGTCAGTGTGAGTTTTATATTTTGATAATTAATTTCTGAACTTAATTTTATCATTTCTTTGGTGAAATATTTTTGCTTAACTGGAAAATCAATCTAGTACAAAGCATTCGACAATTACGACTGATGCTATATAAGAATTACTTGAAGACGGTTCACCAGCTTCTCTATACCTCCCATCAGATACAGCTTGGGTTTAATTTGATGATTACAAAGGAAAAGTCAATTCCCGTTAGATGAGAGATTCAATTCAGGTAAGCAAGGATTCGTTACATTAGGTTAGGTTATGTTAATATTAGACAATAGGTTAATTTAGTGTGGGTTCGATTAAAATTGGTTAGTAAAGAATGAGTAAAGTTAGATTAAATTGGCTCGCTTAATTTAGAATAATATAGGAAACGGTAGGATGCTTTAGGTTCGGTTAGGTTAGGTTTTATTGAACTTAGGATACTGCAGGAACGGTAGCTTTTCCTGGGATCAGGTTAGGTTGCCTTAGAGTAGGCTAAATTAAGCTACAGCAGATTAGTTTGAGATTGATAAGGTTAATCCTGCCTTGGGGTAAACTATATTAGACTAATTTAGGTAAGGATAGGTTAATTTATATTAGATAAAGACAGATACCGTTATATTAATGGTCCAGTCTGATACGTCGCTAAAAAACGCTTGGGAAGAATCGTTCTACACTCACGAAAACCACACTAAATTTATCTCCTATTAAACCACGCACAGTTATCCTTTCCTAAACCAGACAACTACCCTTCATAGATTTACCTTCTATTAAACCATTAGAGAATTATCCCGTCTTAAACAACATCGAATAATTCTCTATTGACTATAAAATATAAAATTTGGTGATAGTGGCGTTCTCGATCCCTATCTGGTGTAACTATTAACTACAGTACAATTTACACACTACTGTACTGTACTATCTAACTTATGCTACTCTTATACACATCCATGGACAAAGTGGATATATTTTTTTTTATTTTTTTAATGATACTGAAAAAATATTGATTTGTCAACGAATATACTTGCCACATATGGCCTTTCATTGTTCTCGGGTAAAATAGTGTACCAAGAAAATAACTATTACATTTTCTCACATTCCTGATTTCACTGACATGACTAGAAATGCTAAATTCAGCTTCACATACAAAAAATCAATAAACAGTCAACTATTCTTCTCATAATCTGGCTAATAATAGTGGACCTTATATATATATAAAACATATACATATTTATCTATTGTAAGTCAAAATAATATATACTATAGTGCTGCTTAAGTCTTTATCTGGCTATTAATACAACACTAATCTTAAAATTTCTCAACATTTCGATTCAATTTTTTTCTGATTTTTGCCAGTTAGGTCTATGTACATTATATTTCAACATGCATTTTTTTTATCAATAACTTTATATATTTTTTCTCAGTAAATCTGGATCACTTCACATAATTTCCAATATCTCGATAACCTTTTCACAAATCTTTGACAATAACTGTAAAATGTTTTCTTTAATAACATCACAAGAAACATCATCATTATCACTTGTCTCATTACTATTTTATCATCACTATACAGTATATGTACATCATCCACAACATCATCCTGAATACATTAAAGCTTCCCATTCTTCTTGTTTATCAGTGTCTTAATATATCCCATAATTATCTTATTAAACATTTCATAAAACTTCCTTCATTCCTGTTTTGTCACTGTGTTAAATCTTATGACAAGTAAACATATCAGAACTTTTCCTTCACACTAATAAAATCCTTCAACATAATGTTTAAGTAAAGGTTGACTAAACATCCACCGACACATTGGTTAACATCTCTGTAAACATAGGTGGAAAAATTTCTTCATAATGCATTCTAAAAATCCTTTGCATTAATGTATTGGGATGGATTATGGGGGTGTGGGATGGATTATGGGGGTGTGGGATGGATTATGGGGGTGTGGGATGGATTATGGGGGTGTGGGATGGATTATGGGGGTGTGGGATGGATTACGGGGGTGTGGGATGGATTATCATGGAATGGATGATCAAGGTGTAGATTATCAAGACATGGATTATCAAGGTTTAAATTTATCATAGTACTGATGGTTAGTGGATGAATTATCATAACACAGGTAGTGGAATTAATGAACTAAATAAATTACGGTGTAGTTATAAAAAAAGGTAACACAAAATATTAGAAACTCAATAATGGTTCATGAAATAGTAATTAAAATCTAAATTGTCATTATCTTTAAAAAATATATAATGTTACTTTTTCACTTAATTCCAATTGTTTTCTTGTCTGAGTTATCTTTCGTTGTGTTTTTCGAGCGCTGTGCCTTATGACGTCTGTCTGCCTTTAGAAATAACAGGCTCTTGTGTTCATTGGAATAAACAATATAGCCACTGACATCCGAGTGCAAAATATTCCTTGACTATTGTGTTCACTTTTCTATTGTCATCAAGTATATTTTTGATCACGTCGAGAATATAATTTTCCTTCAGTATACAGCAAAATACTGCACAAGTTTATCTCACACTGACACTCGTTATAACACTATGCATAATATGTTTGTTACCACCACCACTGTAAACGAAATATTTGATATCTCTTCTTAAGCTAACTCAGTACCTGCTTTCCTATCATGGGGCTACAGTTTTTAAGTGTTTTGTTCAATTCAACTTTTATTTAACGTCACAGAGTCACCATATACTTGTTCCACTGTCCAGTCTAGTGTAACAATTAAAACATTTCCAAAGTTTTATTTTTTTATATCTATGAGGTGTGGTTGCTATAAATAAAACTCATATAAATAATTAATACACAGCTTAAATTCTGGGGAGCCATCACAGTTGTCTATAGGTGATGAGTCCATTCAGTGGTTAGTCTTTTAATAGAGATCTTTAGTACTACAATGTATTATCTGAATCAACAGTTAATGTCGTTTTCTGAACACATTTTATAAAGTAAGTCACTGTGTATATGAGTGATTAAATATCCATTTTCTAAGCACTGATCCCGTCTGAGGAATGAGTCAACATCGACACATCCTTTTTAACTTGTGTCTGGAGTCAAGGGCCAGGGGCTGTTTCTTGTAGGGAGCGGCTTAACCTCTACACACGTTAGAAAGTCCCTCACCCCCTCCGCCCCCCCAAAAGTAAACCGCGATCTTCCTTTTAGTCAGGCGTCTGAGAATATATACGAATATACAAGTCCTATTTGTTTCCAACTAGTTCCCTTTATGTACACTAGTTCAATTTACCCCGAGAAGTTTGTTGACATAAGTGACCTTAAAGCTGCACACTACCAAACGTGAAACTTGGTAGGAGAAGAACCTTGCATCGTGAGGGAGGAGGCACCCGTTCCCCTACTCTTCCATCGTTCCTCCTGTCTTCTATAGAGCATCTGGAAGGACGAACATCCACTCACGGTCACGGTAATCTATTCTAGCGAGACAGTGACTTCTCAGCGAAAGGAAATATCCATCTCATGAAAGCTGGGAAGAAGGGGGATTAGGAGATCGGTCCGACCTTTTGTTTACATACCGAGTAGTCCATCGTGGATAGAGGATGGAGGGAGATCATCAGGATGGTACTGGATAGGAACAAGGTGGGAAGGAATTCATCGTCTATTCCTTCCCCAAAAAATCACTGCATTAGACTTTAGTGAGTCAATACAGGAGTGGTGGTGAGTATAAGTCGCTTGGAGACTTTGTAATGAAGGTGGTGACAGCCATGATAATAGTGATGATGATGATGATGATGATGGTGGTGGTGAAGGTAGTATAACAGTCGTGATTATGCTAATTAGGGTGGTAATGAGAGTAATGAGCTCAATGACAGTGGCTTTGGTGGTGATGATGGAGGAAATTAATGATGTATATGATGAAGATGGTGATTTAAATGCTTCTTTAGTGATGACTGCTAAATATGATGATGATAATAATGATAATGATGATAATGATGATGATAATGAATGAACCGATTGACATTTGTAATACTTATATTAATGAAAATGCAAAATTATGAAATATCAATAATGAGTTATGATAATGATGTCACCGACGAATGACAATGATCCCTTTTCTTAAGTGAGAGTAACAATAACACGAGCTTCATCACCCTAATCACTGAGGAGCAAGAAGAAAATATGTTATCCCGTTCAAACACTTAATAATAATCGGCTCCTTTAAACCATCTAAAACATATCATCCTCATCATGGTTGTTGTTATGGGAGTTGTTATTGTTATTAGCGGTGGTGGTGTTGTTATTGGTGGTAGGGGGAGTGTTGGTGGGAGTGCTGGGGCCAGAGTAGCAACTGCTGGGTGATGCTTCCTCGTTGCCCGAAGAAGCTTTGTTAGGGAAGAGCTGGTAAGGTTTGTCCTCGCCTCGCATCTCACACACTACATTAGTCAGCGCCATGATATAGTTCTTGGCTAAGGTCAGAGTCTCAATCTTGGATAGTTTTCTCTCCCGTTTGACATGCGGGATCACCTCTCTCAAGGCCTGTGAAGGGAAGAAAGAATTAATTTTAAATATTCCATAAAGAAAAATTGTATTATTATTATTATTATTTCTCCCTGAATATGCTAAATTAGTTATGATGAGGATTCAAGATTAAATACATATGCGTCTCAAAAATATTCTAAATATGTTTGTTTCGTGTTCTATGACTAGGGTGAAAAAACATACAGTATATAAAAGATTCAGTACAGTACTGGAGAAACAAATGACAATCTAGATTCATTACAGTATAGGATAAACAAATGACAATCTGAGCAAACTTTAAATATAAACCTCTTTTTTTTATGTCTAGACTTTCTTGCGGAATAATAATAAAAAAAATACACAAAATACAAAGAAATGAAAAGAAAAAAGTTGAGGCTAACGAAGAGTATTGAACCAAAAAACAAGAGAGAGACTATTACAGTAGAGTGTTTAGTAAGCTCTGGCGATGAGGGATGATGCTAGGTTGTGGTAAGCGACAGGGACAAAACAAATTATCTGTATAGTTGGGACATTGTTGTGGAAGATAAGAACTTTAGCAGAACACATCGTTATTCTTGATCTTGTCCTCCCAGTATTGTAAGAATAAAATGTACTGTTGAACATATTTCTCAATGTCCAGTTGAATACATATTAGGAAATATATTAGGTTCATTTTCACGCACGTATTAAAATAAAAAGGCAGGCGGATGTAAACACGAGTTGAATTATTCTCCATTTGGGAAACTGGAACAAAAGAGCATCGCATAAAACAATCCCTGCTTACACTGCATGTCGGTAAAGCAATCCAATTTCTTTATAGACCCATATGATTCTTTCTCACGGGCGTCTAAAGGAGTTCTTCTCTTTCTCTATGAATCCCATCTCTGCCCGGTTCCTTCTGACGTTATTTGATCAGGACGCCACCAAATGACCCGACCCAACTGGATTACAGACAGATGGGACACCTTCCTCCTCCTTCTTTCGTTTTTCCCTCCTCTCTTCTACATCTGGTCGGGAGAAGATTAATTGTAATGGAAATTGTAAGATTCACCCTCGCGAAAAATTGGATTCGAAAAAGAGGGCGGCTTGAGTTGTTAGACCTAAGCTAATTAATTAGATGTTTCTGTCATTGTTTCCGACGTTTAAACGAGTCACCCCAGTAAAAAAAAAAGTGAAAACTGGGAGAAAACATTACACCGACCATCTGTACCTCCTCAGAATAAGCCCGAATAAAACAAAACAAAACTAGTGCCGCAAACACGAAAACACTAGCAGTAGCAACGAGGAAGATGTCCGGTATATTTCCCACTAGATATCGTCTCTCCGTTTCGTTCACATCTTTTTAACTACGCCATAACGTGGGAGGAAACAAACGATCATCATTCTAATCCCTCTTCGGGCCCCTCCCCACCCACCCTCACCCCGATCAATCCATGGTGTACAGATAGCATTATGAGGCAGATTCCGGACAAAATTCTAAATTTATGACCTGGAAAAGATCTGAGAGGAGGAAATAACTCAGGAGGGACGTAGTGAAGATGTATATTGTTGAGGAGTAGTGGCGGTGGTGGCGAGGAGAGAGAGAGGACAAGCGCGAGTAGAGGCGCAGCATTACCAAGTTGCCGGTGGCGGAGGATCATGTCAACATCCTCCAATGAATACCTTAGTTGACTGGCAATGTTTATATAACAACTAGAGAGACAGACAGACAGGCAGAGAGAGAAGTAAATAGTACTATAACGGAAAGACTAATTGAAATGCTAAACACACACATCAAACCCATAACCTCGCTCCTGTAAAAAGAGAAGAAAGAAAAAAAATCTTCTTCATCGGGCGACCCAAACAAATGAGGATTACTCGGCAGATTACCATTGGTGGGGTGCTACACCACTGTTTGGTGAGGCGCGTCAACCCGGCCCAGTCAATAGCCAATATTCCTTAGTTGCGCTGACGGTCTCTCTCTCTCTCTCTCTCTCTCTTTAGTCAATACAATGTTACTTTCCACGGCATCACTCCTGGGAGAATTACAGAAAACGTCAGCAGGATCACAGAGATCGTCAGCAGTATCAGAGAAGGTCAGCACTATCAGAGAAGGTCAGCAGTATCAGAGAACGTCAGCAGTGTCAGAAACGTTAGCAGTATCAGAAAACGTCAGCAGTATCAGAGAACGTCAGCAGTAACATAGAGAACGTCTTGGCTGGGTGTGTGTGTGTGTGTGTGTGAAATGAATGTTATTTTCCAATCTTCTCATAATTTAATTCCAAATAAATAGTTTTGTGAGTTTGCTTATTGTCCCTCTTATACATTTTCCCTTTTTATTGCTCTTATCTGTTCCTTCCTTATTTTTTTCTTTAATTTTTTTCTATTTTCTCTCTCTCTTTCTCTTCCCCTCTCTCTCTCCCACCTTCTCTCACGTTTCCCAATTATCCCATCACTTGCTCTCCCATTTTCCTGTGTTATTTAATTCTTCCTCTCTTTCCATCTCCCGTGACCTCTCCATCCCCGAGGTACAGGGGCCAGCCAGGCGTCCACAAGTATTGGTAAATGCATTAAGGAGAGGTAATGGAGTGGGCTGTCTGATAACACTCACTCACCCACTACACCTACTCCCAACACCCACCACACCATCTGCCTTCCAACACGATGCCTTATACTTAATATATACAATACACCCACCCGCCCAGTACGCTTTTGTGAGTCCTATGCACCCAACCCGCCTAGTGCTGAATCTCCACCCAACTGCAATCTCCCAACTTACTTTATATCTCCGTAGGTGCCAGAAATGCGCTCTAAGGTACTCCAGCGCTGATAGAAAAGTACAGTAGTTTGAAAAGTGTATCGTCCAATGGTAGAAGAAGAGAGAGAGAGAGAGAGAGTTCTGGTAAGGAGAGACATTTTCTATAGGTTTGGAAATATCAAGAGTAACAAGATCAAATTTGCCTCAGGCGCGAGCAGCATTATATGACTTGAGTTCAGCGGTTCCTCCCTCCCTCTCTATACTGTAGGTGCTTACCCTAACATTATGCTTAAGCTCGAGTGTGTTCAGAGTGTGTTCAGAGTGTGTTCAGTTCACATATAACCATCACTCTACAAGTAATTTAGTCATAAGTTTAAATTCCTTGAGCAGAGTGGAGGGTTAGATTCCTTTTCTGTACTCTAGGTCTTGTGAGGTCAACATACCATCGGCTGCCTTGACACTAGTCGAACGAACAGCCTTTGGTGGTGGACTAACATGCTGCTGCTAAGGTCTGGTATAATTATCCACTTGTTGCTGTATGTTAGGGATCAACAAATCAGCATCATAACAGGAAAAAGATTATATGCTCTAAAAAACAAAAAAGCATCAACAAACAAATAAACATCGGAACAATTCAAAGGTAGATCTAAATTAATTGATCTTATGCTATGATAAAAAGATAAGCTTTCAACTAAAAAAAAATAAAGACAGAAAAAGAAATTATTACTCTTTTTTTCTGTGTTGCTTGATGTATGGTAATGACAATATGACATAAACAAGACAGTTACTCCCGTTTACTTCCCATCAGTCAACCAACCTGGAAGGCGTCATTGAGGGAGTGCATCCTCATCCTCTCTCTCTCATTACTTTCTAGCCGTCGCAAGTTCCTCTCTCTGGCTGACGAGGAAGGTCTCTTGCGCCGTGCTGAGCTCCGTCTCTCACCACGCCCACCTCCTACACCTACGCTGACGTCATCACTCACAGAGGAGGAGTCTGTGACGTCACCGCTCCCAGTCCCGCCCACTTCTAACAGCCGCTGCCGCCTCCTCTTCCCCCCTCGCTCGTACCTGGAGGGAAATGGAATCAGAGAGTTACTTTGTCAAAGGTTGGGTCAAAATGTTTTTATTCTCTTATTTACGATACAATAGATGAATTAGAAAATATTATAACCCACTCAATTCATTACAAAAGAGTTAAAAGAAGAGTAGTTATGAGTAAAGAGAGTGGGGAATGGAATCACTGGTAATAACAACAGTGGAAAGACAAAACAAACACGTAATGTACCCAGCTGGTCATATACCCACAACATGGAACCAAATAAAGTGTAAAATTGCCGCCATAAGAAATTCACCTTATGCTAAACATCTGAGATAATAGACTAATTCCTAAACAACTAATGAGTAAAATGTAGATAAAGTGAGAGAGAGAGAGAGAGAGAGAGAGAGAGAGAGAGAGAGAGAGAGAGAGAGAGAGAATACAACTCAGTGAATAGATATAGATACAAAAATAAAATAAATGCTGATAAGGAGAGAGACAAAGATAAAAAAGGGAAGAGGCAATAAGGGAAAGAATCATAATAATAAAAAAAAAAAACGAAGCAGGTGAGAATAAAACGTCCTAAATACAGATAATAAAAAAGATAAGAAAAGAACAAAAAAAAGCAATTGGTCAGTGTTTGGTTTGACAACAGCGGTGTGTGTATCTAAGGGACAAATGAACTACCTAACTCCATTCGTGGTTATTGTCTATTATTGTGGGTTATTGTAGGTCATTATAGGTTATTGTAGGTTAGGTTAGGTTAGGTTAGGTTAGGGATGAGAAATAATGTCTTTACAACTTCAAAGAACATTTTACCATTTCGGAGGTACATATAAACAGAACCTCTTCGCTCCTGGGGTATGAAATAGAACCCCTAAACATCTATTGAAATTTTAAAATAAACCTTGCACTCTGAGGAAGGTTCAAAACGGACCTTAATAAAACTTCGAAGGTTTAAAATAAAACCTCTAAGCCCCTGGGGTGTTTCTATAACTCTAGAGGTTTAAATACGAACCCAGAGACTCTTGGTGGCTTTCAAATATAACCCCTTTATAACCTAGGTCAAAAATAGAACCCCAGACTCTATTCTCAATGGTCGATAATAAAAAGATCTTTTCCATTAATACCGACATTGGCAGGTTGATTAATAGAGCCCCGAGGTATGGAAGAGGTGGCAGAAGAGAGAGAGAGAGAGAGAGAGAGAGAGAGAGAGAGAGAGAGAGGTGAGAGAGAGAGAGAGAGAGAGGTGAGAGGGGAGGTAAGGTAGGGAGGATTGGATGGATGGACAGATGGATATGAAGGGAGGGAAGAGTGGGAGGTAGCGTTGGAGGTAGGAGAGGGAGGTAGGGTGGAGAAGTGAGAGAAGGTAGGAGTGGGAGGGAGGGAGAGACGTAGCAGGAACCACCATAATCTCATTCAATTACGAGAATAGTAAATTGAATAATGAATAATGTATTGAATGGGTGATAACAGAATAACGGGTGTAAGGGGAGATGTGGAGGGGGGAGGGGGCAGAAGATGGTGTGAGGGAAGATGGAGGTGGGTGAAGGAGAGAGGATAAGAAGGAGGAGAAGGAGGGATGAAGATGGTGTAGAGTAGAAGGATAAGGAGGATGAGGAGGAGGATGAGGAAGATGATAGGATATTGAATAAGGAGGAAGAAGAAGAGGGAAAGACGAAGAGAAGAAGAGAGAAGGAGAAGAGGAGCAAAGAGAAGGAGAAGAAAGACAAACTATCCAATGACTTTCCTTTCATCATAAAATAGACACATGTTGATCCAAGTCCGTTCTGTTGGGTTGGTCAAGTCTGTTGTTATTGTCGTCCGTGTACCCGTGAGATGGCTGAACACGTCCACAACATAGAAAGATGAGCCTTTTTCAGTGAGTCTATGTATATATAAAAACCCTGGTGACTTGGAGAGGTAGAAAGTGTCTTGCTATAGGCTGATATACTTAGATACTTTAGCTGGTTCCCATTCAGGCTATAGTATTGTACGAGGCTCATTTTTATTCTAGAACCTTAAATGATTAATGTATTTTAGGACGTGTAATAAACAGGAGCTTAACCTAACCTAACCTAACCTAACCACCAGATTAGACGCCTACATTATTTGTGTTTACTTGTAAGTCAGGCTATTGCATCGCACCTCAAGTAACTCCCCTGAGGTCATAAAACTCCCAGTTATTTGGAAATTAGCAGAAATATTATCAATATCCTCGAAAAAACGTGGTTATGTAAGGAAATATTAACCCACTGACGATAAGGACACATTGTTCTGGCGGTGAGGACAGACCTTGGCGGTAAGGACAGACCTTGGCGGTAAGGACAGACCTTGGCGGTGAGGACAGACCTTGGCGGTGAGGACAGACCTTGGCGGTGAGGACAGACCTTGGCGTTGAGCACAGACACACGAGCTCTGAAGTATAGCCATTGGGACAGACAGGCAGCTTATCGTCTATGAATTTCAGTATCGAGAATAATAGAACCTTTTTGGTATCTAATGACATCAACTATTAAACTAAGGGAAAATAGTTAGATGAGGGGGATGAGGGAAGGAGGGGGGGGGGGGTTAAGACCAGGAGAAAAGTGATTAAATAAACACATTTTGGGGCAGATTGGTGACCAGTTAACCCCCTAACCCGTGTCGGGACCCCTGAGGCCGTTGTCAGCTGGGGAGAGAGTGGCTTGTGTGGAGAGCTGCGGGTATATGAGGAGAGATGGTGACAACATCAACGAGTGGCTGCTGGTTTTATTTAGTTAACAACACTCTCCGTCCCTCCCTCTCTCCTTCCCTCCCTCTCCACCTAACTACAACCCACCATCATGGCTGACTAAGAATATATAGTTGTGTTGAAAAATATGGGGAATTCTTTGTTCGTGAGATAGGAAGAAACATTATTGGCTATAAGACAAACCATGATGTTGGTATTTTTACTTTTCATTTTGTATTTAATTTTCTTCACCTCTCACTTCTTTCTCTTCTTTAACTCCTTTCTCCCTCGCTCCCTCTACCTATTCCTCCCTACCCCACCGCTCTCCACCTCTCCCTCCCTCCTCCATCATCTACAATAAACCTTCTGGGAGAGACTCACAAGTAGTCGTCGTCGTCGTCGTCTTCATGCCAGTCGTATACAGCAGCGTGGAGGGGGGTGGGGGTGGCAGGGGGGTCCAGGTGGGGCGGCGGTGTCTCCTCGTCAATGCCTTCCACGCTGATGCCCGGGACTTGCCGCATCCTGCAAGTAAACAAACGAACGTCTCACTTTGACTGAGGACCAGAAAAGTGTCAGGGTAGAAATTCTCCAGAAATACTCGTGAGGAAAGCATATGAAACGTTACTGAGGTGGTTTAGAATGTTACTATAATATGACAGAATAAATTTTGCTTCGACTGGTTGTATTTAGAGCCAGATATGATTAAATTAAAAATAAAAACCTTCCCTTAATTAAAGTTGACTATGGCATTATAGAGACCAGTCCAGGAAAGTACTTAAGAATAATTATCACACATGGCTTAGTATACAAGTCACCTTAGAGAAGAAAATGAACACTAACAAGTCAGTCTAAATGTGAGAATGACGATTAGTCTTTGTGTTAACCAATAACATATACGACAGAGTTTAGTGCTGGTATGTGACCTTGTTTTATCCCTTGAATGAGAAAGACTTAGGTGGCGTTCATACCATTGTGGAAACGCCTTACAATAACAAGGATTTTTGGTGGGTAATCAAAGCGACTGTGGGTGTTCAATTGACTTTCCCTTTGACGTCAGAGAGAAAACTATTATTGATATTTTTAATATGATTTTTGCGACAAATTTCCTTCGTTTTAGAGTTTGATGTTTACACTTTCGATGATCTTTTGACCTTTGACCTTGACCTCCTCCTAAACTTTAAGTGTTTATTGTATATTTAACATAGTATCCATGACGTTTGGTTAGATTTGGTTCTAATTTGGTTAGAATATTCTGTATTACATTATATAATGGTGGTGCGGAAACAGACATACCCACAGACACAAACAGACACAAACAGACACAAACAGACATACCCACAGACACAAACAGACATACCCACAGACACAAACAGACATACCCACAGACACAAACAGACATACCCACAGACACAAACAGACACAAACAGACATACCCACAGACACAAACAGACATAAACACAGACACAAACAGACACAAACCTTCAGGGGACAAGGTACATAAAAAAATAATTCAAAAAGTGATAATAAGAGAAAGAAGTAAAGAACAGATGAAGGGGAAGAGGATAGGAAAAGGAGGGAGGGATAGGTAGAGGGAGGTAATTGGAGGGGGAATGGGGGTAGGAAAGACACGGAGGGAGGGAGGGAGGGAGGGATAGGTAGAGGGAGGTAGGTGGAGGGGGAATGGGGGTAGGAAAGACAGGGAGGGAGGGAGGGATAGGAAGGGGGGCCAGAAAACTTAAAAGAAAAAAAAAAAGTCGTTAAGTAACATTAGATATTTAAGTAATTTTACACAATACTGTTACACATAACTTTAGCCTCTTGTTATTATTAATCATATAATTTACAAGACTCAACAAACCTTTCTCTCCATCCTAAGTTATTTTCCCTTATATTACATTTTTTTTTCATTCTACATTTTTTTTATTCACCATTCGTATACCTGCACCATGGTGATCCACACATTCATTTACTCATCCTTAATTTCCATTTTTTTTTGTCTCCACTAACTACAGGAATCTAGTATTTCCTTCACGAGCGAATAATCCCAGAAATGTTCGTATAATCTTAGTGTGAATAAATATCAAGAGTTACGGAGGTACATATGAGCGATGGTTAAAGGTTAGTGAGCGATAGATTGTTGGAACTTGGTCGTAAAGGCCTTTTAATCAGTCAACGTATCGAAATTGAGTTAAAGGTAGTTTATTTTAGGGTAAAAGTGGGATAAAATCGATTAAGGAAGCGAGTTGGTTTGGGAGTACTGTAGTGGTGGTGGTAGTGTTGGTGGTGGTGGTGGTAGTGTTGGTGGTGGTGGTGGTGGTGGTGGTGGTAGCGATGGTGGTGATGCTGTATTAAGCTTATGGTGGTGGTGGTGGTGGTAATTGAGTTAACGTGTGAAAGTGGAGAAGTGGGCGAGTGTTGGTGGTGGTGATAATGAACATGTGGCGGTGGTGACGAAGTGGATGAAGGGGGGATGGTGAAGTGTATGAGGAGTGATGGTGAAGTGAGCTAGGGGATGATGGTGTTGGTGAAGTGTTTTATGTAGTGTATAATATAGTTAGAGTATTATTAGTAGTTAAGGCTGTAATATATGTTATAGTCAACGTGTGGTGTTGTAGATCTGGTCACTAATATAAGGTTCTCTTTGTAGATGCAGTATACGGTACCTCGAGGGGTCTTGGCCGGGTATTTCTTCTCGTATTCACCAACATAGACAAGCACAACGAGAGCAAACTACAGTGTTCTTGATGTTATTGATGTTCTTCGTGTTCTTCTTCGCGTTATATCCATATCCCTGACACTTGTAACAACACAGGGGGAAGAGAACGTAGGGTCAAGACAGTGCTTCTCTCAAAGCCAAACTTCACGAACTCAGGCTAAACAGTTTTCACAATGTCAACCTGTCTTCTTATTTTCATCCGAGGATTTTTTTTCCACGTGAAGTTTTTTGCCGAGATGATGTTAGTCAATGAAGCAATTTGTATAATATAAAATACAAAGCTTAATGTTAAACGTCAGAGGTTACAATAGGGTCATGAAGAAAGATTTGTTGTGTGATATTATTTCTAAGCAGCCACAGATCTTCACCAGGCTCCGTGTCATCACCAGGCTCCGTGTCATCACCAGGCTTCGTATCATCACCAGGCTTCGTATCATCACCAGGCTTCATCTCATCACCAGGCTCCGTATCATCACCAGGCTTCGTATCATCACCAGGCTTCATCTCATCACCAGGCTTCATCTCATCACCAGGGTCCGTACCATCACCAGGCTCCGTATCATCACCAGGCTTCATCTCATCACCAGGCTTCATCTCATCACCGTGTAAGATGTAAACAATAAACATTACCCTCAGACAACACGACAAGATCATAAGAAATTTTTAAGCTCGAATCCTTGTGGTGAAGGAACTCTTGTATATAACATCAGCAGATAACAGCCACAACACCACATAACAAAGGTTAAGGTTACGTCTGAAGGTCAATGGTGTTAATCCCTGTACAAAAGATAACTCCAGCAAATATAAAATAAACGAGATACAAGACTTTTTCTCCACAAAGGTCAAGGAATGTAGTTTAAGGTCGAGATTAATGTCCCCCCTCCCCTTCCTCAAAATAAAAATACCGAATAAATTAAAAAAAAAATCACTTTTATGTTTTTATATTTATTATTAAAACCTCTCGATATAGAGAAATAAACATACAATCAGAGTTAAGATACAAAAAGACAGACAGACACACACACACACACACACACACACACACACACAAAGAGGTAAAAGCAAAGGAAAACAAAGAGAAAAAGAAAGAGAGAGAGAGAAAGAGAGATACACAAAGAGTAAAGTAAAATCAATTATAAAAGGTTTGATGGTTAAGAATGAAAGTGAAGGGGAGGTAGTGAATAGAAACAGTCTGTCTGTCTGTCTATCTATCTGTCTGTCTGTCTATCTGTCTGTCTGTCTGTCTGTCTATCTATCTGTCTGTCTATCTGTCTGTTTGTCTGTCTGTCTAATTATCTGGCTGTGACTTATTATTTTAACAGGTGGGGAAGTGAAGACAGTCTAATACAGTAGTGCTTTTAGGATTCTCTTTCATAATCCAAGAGTAGTGAGTGTTTGTTACGCCCATACGCCCATCGCTCTGTCTCAATCCATCCGATGTTAGGTATTTCCTTCGTGAATTCAACTTCCAACAGTTTTCCATTAGTGATTATTTTTCATTTATGCCTTCCCCTCATTCACGACTTTCCTCCATTCACGACTTCTCTTCATTTATGCCTTCCCCTCATTCACGACTTTCCTCCATTCACGACTTCTTTTCATTTATGCCTTTCATTCATTCACGACTTTCCTCCATTCACGACTTCTCTTCATTTATGCCTTCCCCTCATTCACGACTTTCCTCCATTCACGACTTCTCTTCATTTATGCCTTCCCTTCATTCACGACTTTCCTCCATTCACGACTTCCCTTCATTCACGAGTCTTGCATGCACGTGTAGGATCGATCATTGCTCCCAGCGGTACAGTTTGCTCAGTATGTCGATGAGCTGATGCCTGGAGGGGTGAGGGGGTGCGGTGAGGGGAGGGGAAGGGGGGAGAGGGGGAGAACACGTGTCATGGTATATGTTTAGTTAATCTCCCCCCCCACCCCCCCCACCCCCCATTTTTACCCCTTTCTTGTTCTGTCATATCAAAAAGTTATTCTATTTATGTTATACTGAATATTTTTTTGTGTTCATTTTATATTTTGTTATTTTTTTTGGTGTGGGTAAATTTATTCATTGTTATGATTGATCTTGTTATTATTAAGTAGTGTTATTTTCATTGCTATTTGTAATGTTGTTATCCTAGTGTTTTGTTTTTTAGTCTTGGCAATCGTACAAAAAAATTTTAATACACACAAACATATAAACAAAAATATAAAGCCGTGGGATTATGATAAACAGAATAAACAAAGTAAAATTGGAGGGCAAACAACGTCAAAGAGAAAAACCACTAAATATAAACAAAATGAACTATAAAGATCAAAGATATTAAGATACAAATATATTCAAGGGAAACACCACGTAAATATCTCATTTGTGGAAACAGATCAGTGGCAACATGCTCCACCTTCCTTGTCGTATATCTCTGTCGTTCGCGTGACAGGCAAGGGATTGTTATAGATTCTCAAGAACGCTGGCATCACACACGAGACATTGTTATGGATTCACGCGAACGCTTGTGCTGAATATGGTTGAATATACTATAATTCCACGCAAATGGTGGTGTTGAAGACGAGACGTAAATATTGTGGAGATTTTACGAATACTGGTATTGAATATGAAAGTTGTTTGGGATGCTCACGAACGCTGGTTGTTGAAGAAGAGGATTACTGTAGATTCTCAAGAACACTCATACCACATTAACTTATATAATCCAGTACATATAAACACGAAAACACTTAAATATTACACCCCAAAATACACTTACAGCACAGCAACATACACTAATCCAGTACAAACACTTACACTATACTCAGTGATACAACAACGCACCTACACAACACCACAATGTAATAAACCAACTAACACCACCTCTATCCTTACACCCTGTGATACACCTACACCCCCCTTGTACCACCACAGCTTACCGCAAACACTTGAAGGTGTGAAGACCGAGAGGCATCACTTACCTCTGCACAACAGTCTTTGAGGGGATACGTGCTCACACAACACATACACCGACCTACACTGTCAACTTGTCGAGTATTTTCGTTCCAAGGTGAATTATTACGACTTATTAAGGCAAAGTTTTGATAATACTATGGCTTTGAGTTTTTTGAGAACCTAGGGTGGTATTGGAAAGGTATATAAGATAAACTAGAGTCTTTATGATAATAGATACGGTATTTGTCCTTTTAAAATTTGATAAGTTGAAGCTGTTTATTATCTAGCCTAGTGTGTGTGTGTGTGTGTGTGTGCGTGTGCGTGTGTGTGTGGGGCAGTCCTCACACAGTCAGTAATACAGTTACTAACATTCAAACAGTCAACAAGAGTAGATACAGAACAAGTAACAGTCAACACAGTCAGTAACAATTTAAAACAGTCAATCACAGTTAGTAAACATTAAATTGAAGATGAACACACAGTCATATACAGTCACTATACAATCAGCAACACAGTCAGTATATATTCAGTATCTCAGTAAGTAGGCAATAATAGTGAGCAATCAGTCAGTAACAGTCGGTACCAGTCGACACACAGTCAATAACAGGGTAAAAGAGAGTTTGGTGTTTGGTCTAAAAATAACTTAAAAGACGTAGGACCAACTTGGAAAAATTGATGGTAATTCAATTTGTCCAGTGAGGTAACTACTGGCTCACCCACCCTCCCCTTCCCCTCTCCCACGCTACCCACACTCACCCACGACACCCACACTCTCTCCCACGCTACCCACACTAACCCACGACACCCACACCCTCTCCCCGTTACCCACACTTTCCCGCACCGCCAATGCCACCCACACCATTCATACTAAACACACGGACGTGCCACCCACACAGCCATGCCACCCACACCATCGATATCCTCTAAGCTGCTCATGCCAACCCACGCCTCTTCACTGCCCCTGAGCTAAGACCACTGAGGCCACCCATCCCTCTTGTACCACCCACCCCTCTTATACCGTCCACATTAACCACTGTGTATCTACTCTATGTGACGATATTGTTTCTTTTATTTCAATTTGTTATCTAATGTTTTACAAGAGGAGATAACTTAATACAAACGGTGTGTAGGAGTAATAAGAGGATGGAAAACGTGGTCGATTTCTAGCCTCGTCGTCATAATGATTCATATATAAAGTTAAGAGATCTTGTATAACGTGAAGCCTAACATCACTTGTTTATAGTCTGTGATGATGTGGTGTTGATGTTTTGCCTTTAATCCCCCGGTGAAGTGAAGGACAGAAAGCCTGAAAAGTATCTAGCACCTGAAATGAATTTTATCACCACGGGTTAATTTCACCTTTTTTTGGGGTGTAATTTAATTCGAACTTTGTAATTATTGAACGTTCATTATTGATAAGAAATATTAAGAATTCGAATTATGTGTCGAGGGTGAGAGGGCAAGAAGGTTTTTAGTGTCTTGGTGACCACACGTCGATCACTGAGGTTGAAGGCACAGTATACAACTCTGATTGATTTCGTGGTTGTCATTTTTTTGCTCAGACACGAATTATTGGGTTTTTTTTGTCAGTGTGAAAATAACCTTCGTTTGTCTGTAAGAAATATCAGTTTAAATACTACTACTGTTATGACTACTACTACTATCGATACTACTACTACTACTACTACTTTTTTTTTTACTGCTACTACTACTACTACCGTATTAATGATGATAGTGATGATGATAATAATGACGACGACAATAAAAATAATAAGATAATTACTCTATCCATATTAAACATAAAGGTCTCATAATCACAACCACCACTCACACGTAAACACAAGCCACTCACACATAAACCCACACGGATACAAACACGGATACAAACCCACACGGATACAAACCCACACGGATACAAACCCACACGGATACAAACCCACACGGATACAAACCCACACGTATACCCACCCACGAGCGACATGTAAACACTCTCTGTACCACGTGAAAACAAACTGAAAATACACCCAGCATGGAGAGGGTAAAAACATCCACACTACCAAGAAATTTTCCCTCACACACACAGGAAAACTTATCATCCATCCACATGAAAAAATCACTTAATAATGATTTATGTCAACACATCCTCGACACTACCTAACCTAACCTAACCTAACCTAACCACCGACACCTATATGAAATGATTCTTACATTAAAACATTCAACATCTGCAGGAAAATATAACCCACACACAATAATGAGACTCACAGGATAACACAGTCGTTCCTATATATAGAAACACATTCAACATCTACAAGAAAAAAAAAAACACATTTATTATCCACATATAAACACTCCCAGTCGTTAATGAGGACCCGGTAAAGATATTCACACGAAGAAACACCTCCCTCCTATTCATCACCTCATGAACAACAAACGCAACACTCACATCAACAGACAGTCAAACAAATCCCCGTATTGAAACACTCCCACTCACTCAGGGATGCGGTGGTCGTGTGGTTACAAAAATCACCTCCTTTCCTAAACGTTGATGGTTCGATCTTGAGGCATTTTCAGGGCATCCAGTCACAAATAGGGATCTAATTTTACAGCTGGGAAACTGAAGGTGGGGAAGTGCGGTGTCGGCCATATTGTGTCCTTAGTATATAGTATGCTGTTTCCACACTGCCCCTGACGAGTA